GAGACCAGTGCCTTCACAGCGTAGTGCAGAACGCAGACCACCAACGTCCGACTTCGAGACGGCTGATGCCATCCACAGATTGGTAGGCATAGCCATCGAAGTCGGAACACAAGTCCTGGCCGACATAAGGGCCGGGACAGACCCCGTTACCTCGGAAACGGCTCCAACGATTTTCATATTAAATTTCTAGCTAGGATTTATTTTTAGAAAATGTTTTTAAATTTTAACAATATCGTTAAAATAAGAAGGTAAATTTTGATAGTTTATTAATGATTACAAATAGCTTAATTTGTATATTGGGCGGTCACAAAATCGTAATAGGATGGTTCGAGCCCAGACCGACCGCCCGACTTTTTTTAATTTTTTTTCAAGTTCCTTTCTTTTTTTGACAAAATCTATTTTTCGAGCCCTTTTTTAGTATTTTTTAAAAAACACGAAAATTTAAATTAAAATAATGATTTCTTATATTTACGCGAACACTACACATTGAAATAATACTAGTTTTTACGGAATTTATCGCGTATATTTAACTTTTTAATTACCCGACGTTTCGAGAGCTTTACAGCACCCATGGTCACGGGAAGGACTGAGATGTTCAACGTCCAGCTGTCATAGTTAACCGCGGTTACCATAGATTAAAATTTAACTTTTGTTCCGATCTACACAGTATGAACTTATGGTATCATGGAGTCTTGCAGTTGTATGCTTGGGTTGGGATTTAATTTTATTTATTATAGGATCCCAAGCAGATGGTAGCACCCAGCCATCTTCTCTATTGAAATTAGGATGTTTTTTTGATTTCAATAGCCTCGGCGAATCATCCTTGGAAGGAATCGGTGTTCTTTAGCGAGGATTTGTGGTCTATCAAATCTGATGTAGTGACGGGGGCGATCCTGTACATGTTCACAGACTGCAGACTTCCCGGAGCGTCGATTCTTCACATCAGCTATATGTTCTTTGACGCGGGTTTTAATGGATCTTTTAGTTTGTCCTATGTAGGAGAGACCACATTCACAATCAAGCTTCCTCTGCAAGATGCAGGAGTGTACAAGCTTGATTGCTACCATCTGCTTGGGATCCTATAATAAATAAAATTAAATCCCAACCCAAGCATACAACTGCAAGACTCCATGATACCATAAGTTCATACTGTGTAGATCGGAACAAAAGTTAAATTTTAATCTATGGTAACCGCGGTTAACTATGACAGCTGGACGTTGAACATCTCAGTCCTTCCCGTGACCATGGGTGCTGTAAAGCTCTCGAAACGTCGGGTAATTAAAAAGTTAAATATACGCGATAAATTCCGTAAAAACTAGTATTATTTCAATTTAAATTAAAATAATTGCACTCATGATTTTTTATTCAAATAACCAGTTCAGTTTTTTCCATTATGTCGCTAAGATCAAAAAATATTATCCGTATTTCATCAGTATGTAATTTGTATCTAAATATAATTTGCAAAACACACGAATTAAAAAACCTAGCGAAAAATACCGAGCAAAGCTCGGTCAACCGGGTACTTATTAGATTGACCGATGAAGAGCTATCGTCTAACAAAGCCATCTATGAAAAAAGGCTGTAGTTTTTGAGTTATAAGAATGTGACCATATTAACAGGATGACCATTTGACATTACTCTCATGGAATATACTTATAAATATGATGTCTTTCATACCAAATTTTCGTTACGGCGGATTGTGTTTACGGAGACTAGCAGGAACAGAATTATAGTACAAGAGTTTGGCAATCTCTGTTCATTTAACTACATACTCCGACGAGTGGAGTAGACCGATAGAATGACTGCACCTGCCCTCTTCGTTGACACAAACGAAGAGGGCAGGTGCAGGACCAACGACTTTATGTGCTTTCGGAAGCACGGGAGTGAAACATCGCCAACCGCCTGAGGCTCGTTACTACTGACAATTTATTGACAGAAAAATTAATAAGTGACTTGGCATTCGAACCTGGGACTATATGATCAGCAATCATGACCACTAACTATACTCGTACCAATGATGCAAACAACAAAATATTAATTGAAAAATGTTCAAGTACAATCTCGACGACTCTAGAGCGCAGTGGCTTAGCATTGAGTTTCGTAATTGAGGGCCGTGGATTTGAAACTCGCACAAAACAAATAGTTATGAATATGTCCTACATATAATTATTTTGGATCTGAATGTTGGTCTTTGTGAAATGTATGATTGTAAACTGTTTCCACGATACAGGAGAATATTTTAGTGTGGAGATAACTTTTTAATAAGGAAAAAAATAGCATTTAATACTACAGCACTAAATTATATGAAAGATTAGCGCTATTACTCCCTTCGAATATAGAACATAAAGCCCAATGGATCAGTAACCTGAAATGGCAATGAGCCGGTCATATAACTCGAAAAACCCACAACTTATGGGAAAAAGAGCCCCGTACAGGTAAGAGAAGTAAAGTGCTACTCCCACTAGATGAAGTGACAACCTGATTAAAGATGCAGGAAGGAAGTGGATGCAGGTGGCTCAAGATCGTGCTTTATAGCATTCCTAAGGGGAGACCCTTGTTTAGCAGTGCATTTGTGATATGCCGTAATGATGTTGTTATAGAATAGATATAATTTTGGAATATTAAAATTTAATAAATATGGTGTAAAATACTGAACAAAACGTGCCTGAAAAACATACAAAAATGCATGAATTAATGTAAGCAATTTTAATTCGTGTAGCATGCTCACAAAGCTTTTGCCGCTTTGGATATAATCCACCTGTGGATCACTACTGCGAATCTAAGTGAACGCAGTGATTTTAACATTCGCTTGAATTCATATTGCTTATGTACCTAAAGGCAACAGCCTTTAATCAAACTGGATTTTTAAACGCTAGCATTATGACAAGATTTTTGCATTTCAGCGAACACAGACAAATATGTTAACAACCTGGTCACCTTTGGTTTTATTAATTATTTTATGCTAGTGCTTAACGAGACTAATCCTTTTAAATTAACTAAGTGGAATAAATACTTTACCGTTCATAATGTTGTGCTTAGCAAAGAAATTCAATAATTTGCAAGTTTTTTATCCTATTACGACGTTTTTGCATCTAACTCAATGCAATGCAGAAGTAAAAAGGCATGCATGCGCGTGTGCGCTTGACCATCTCGTATATCATACGACCATTTGGGTATGGAAGTCTAGCACAGGTTTATATAGATCCTCAAATCCCAAGTCGGATCAAAATCATCTGTTGGATTTTCAGTAACAACACGGTCTCGTGAAGTAGCCGGCGTTCTAGCCCTGTGACTCAAAAAACAAGTAAGGCTTTTGGTCCAGCGCATGATATCCCTCTAAATTAAATAAACACTTTTATAAATAAATTAAAATAGTTTGAAATGTAATAATTTTACCGAAGAAAGAAAGTTGAAAATATCAACTAGGAAGTTATTTCCAATTCCTAAGTACCTACAATTTTTTAAGCTATAATAACAAAACACTAAAAATAGCTAATTTTTTGTTAAAAGATCGTGGCCTAAAGATAAACATGACGAAATAACAGAATCATCTAAAAATTGCGATGTGACTTATATATGGAAGAGTTTAGTTTTATTGATTTTGTTTATAAGAAATAGTAATTTTAGTTATGTTGAATGTTTTGTCTTTTACTTATTACTTAAAAATATTTCAACCAAATGGGACAAAAAATAAACGAAATGCAAAATTACCTAAGTATCTTGTGAACCATGGAACTAGAATATTTAGAATGGATATTTCTACGTAATTTGAAATCTTCAACTTTTTTTTATAGATTGGAAACAGTGGAACTACAGGAAAATGCGAAATTATCTAAATATTATTCATCGAAGCACGTACTGGAAGAAGCTTATAGTACACAGGTTAACCAATAACTATAACTTCCGTGTTAACTGGTACTAATAGTTTGCAGATATGCACTTTCGCATAAAAAACACTCAAAGACATTCTCTTTTTATTATTTATATAAGAAAATGTTACTTAAAGATTTTAATCGACACGCTTTATAGTATTCTCTTTTATTCTATCGAGACTCATTCAACACGTTTGTTAAGACAAACAGAAATCGGGTCAATCCTGCAGATTCTTTTTATTCATTTAGTTTTCGTTCATTCGAAGCGAGCAAGAATCTTGGTCACGCGACAGTTATCGTCCGAGTCGGCAAATTTTTTGAGCAAAGCTAATATTGGATTGATAAGCTTATGAGATAATTTTTTGTTTTTAATATTATGTTTCTTAGAAAAACTTTTTGGAAAAGCAAAAATATTAAAACACAAATATATTTCGTATTTAAAATAAGTAATTAAGGTAAGAATTTCCAACGTTTACAGGCTTTCAGCGTTCCCTTCTCGGCTATATGCATATTTGTGCAGTCCAAATTGAGCATGCGACATTTATGTTTGAAGAAAATCTATTTTATTTGAAACGTTTTTGCTCACTGTCAAAAAAGTTTTTGTTTATTTACAATTATTATTATTTTATCTTGCTTAATATGAAGTATTTTTAAAATCCATTCCATTTAGAATTCAATTAAGTTTTTATGTTAACGCATATTTGTTTATTTAGTTCTGACTTTTTGGTAACTTACTATCAACATGCTCGGTACTCTCCTATGGCATAATCCTATAGGGAAACTCTTGTGATGTAAACAAATTATTTATATTACAAAAGAAGCGTCTACGAATTTTAACAATTTTAGACCAAATGAGTCATGTAATACTCGAGCGCGAGCGTGCGAGGCGGATGTGTTGCTGATTATCCTTAAAAAATAAATCGTAAAAGTCAAACTATTTTCAACCTTTACCTCATAACATAAAACTTGTAATTTACGTTACGAGTGTGCATTGTATTTCTACTTTTTACTCTGCGCGTGACCAGTTGACGACCGACGGTAACCGCTCCACACCCAATTTCTCGACTCGGTCTGACATCTTAGTGTGTGCGTCATAGAAACCAAAGTGTTTGTTACGTTGAAGTAAACATGAATGTACTTCGATCACCTACTGGAAGCGACACGAACTTTGAGCGTAGTGGTTCCCAACCAAATCTATCAAACATGCCCAGTGCGCTAATCTCCGAACCCTCAACGATTACTTTTCGTAATAAACGCAAGCATTCCGACGGCGAATATGATCAAGTCCAATGTCAACTCTCTGATATTCAGAAAATAAATGACAGAAATGATGACACTCGTAACTTAAGGAGAGTGCTAATGAAATTTAGGAATGACATCGCAATGATAAGATGTGAAATTCAAGACATTAGAGATGCTATACGATCGACTGAGAAACGGATAATAAACCTAGCCACAAATCATAGTAACATTCAAGACGAAATACAAAGTCTCAAAAACTTTGCAGAGAAACCTGGGGATAAATTTGTGTCACTGGAGTCTAATGTAGAAAACTTAAAAAATCTACCAAGCGATACATCTATAAAACCCTCCTATGAAGAAATACTGTCTGAATTAAACAACCAAAGCATGAGAAAAAAGAACATAGTTATTGCTGGTATTCCTGAACCTCAGTCAACGGACGCCAAGGAACGTTTTGATCTAGACAAAATTAAAGTAGTCGATGCTATCAAAAACAAAGACTGCCCTGAACCAAAAAAAATGTACGCATTGGAAGATACAAGCCAGGAACGGATCGTGCAATAAAAGTTATATTTGAGTCGGAAGAAATTGTAAAGCTTATTTTGCGCAACAAAGGAAACATAAAAGATACTAAAATTAAATTTTCTGTTGATCAGACACCATTCCAGCAAAATCAACTTAAACATCTGAAAGAAGAACTGAAACGTAGAACTGAAGAGAGAGAAGAAAATATACGTTTAAGTATATTAAAAATGTACCAAAAATTATTAAAACATTACCAAAAAAGTTTGATGCATGAGTGACAAAGCAAACGAACATAACACTACTTACCAAATAAAAAAACAATTAAATTATCCTTATAACCAATAAACAATCTTTAAAATTCTTATACGCAAATACTAGAAGTATCGTAAAGCCTGCAAAATTCGATGAATTGAGGTGTGTTGTTGAATCTTTCAAATCTACGATACATATGCTTATTCTTACTGAAACATGGATTAAGTCTAATGATGAAGCCAAGAGATTTAAATTACCTGGATATACTTACTACTATCAGCACAGACAAAATGTAATTGGCGGCGGAGTATCACTATTTGTCCACAACATTCTTAAACATTGCTATGTTGATGAACTCAAAAAAGATGAAAACCAGTTCTTGTGGATACACACAATAAATTCTTACTAGATATTGTATATTGTGAAAGAAGCTTAACTGCGACCTTAACAGTATTTATTATTAGTCGGACAGATTTGGTATTAGGGTTAATCCATCAAAGTGTCAGGCTATTGTGGTTGGTAGTTCTCGTAGATTGCCTAAAATTGATATGAAGGTGCTACCTCCTATAATTTTTAATAATGTTACTATTCCTTACTCGATAACTGTTAAAGATCTTGGCTTAGTTATTGACAACACCCTCAGTAGTTTTTCATTAACAAATTTTTTTATATTCTTAAATTCTAACTCGTCCCTTTTCCTGTTTTTATTTCAAATATTTCATAGGTGTTTGAATCAGAAACAGCTATATTTAATTATGTATGTACTTATATATATATATATATATATATATGCATATTAGGGCAGCATTAAACATATATATGTATATATTTATATCATATATCGTGTATGTATATTCATATAATAATATATATGTATAATTATGTTTATAACATGTAATGCAATATGTAATGTGTATGTCTACTTAAAGATGTTTTAACTCAATTGCACTTTGCACCCACAATATCTTCTCTGTTTAACCTGGAGGTAGACTGGTAGAGAATGCCTTGTTGCATTAAGTCCGCCTTTTTGTACTCGGCGCATAGCATAAATAAATAAATAAATAGATATTGGCGCGGTATACAAGCCTGGTAGAACAAACGTTACAACATTTCTAGAAACTCCTTCATTACAACTACATCATTAAAAAAAGAGCCGTAGTATTTGGTGACTTTAATCTGGACGTGCTTAACCTGAACAGCTTAGTTGAATAATATAAAAATACACTCCTAGAATGCGGCTACTCATTAATTATAGAATAAGTCCCCAGTATTGTACGCTTGAAACATCAAAAAGTAAAACTATTCTTGATCTACAGACTTAAAGGAAAACAAATTCCATCTGGCAATTGTAGAATCGTCTTTGTCAGACCATAAGCAGATTTTTTTTGAAATAAAAGAATACAAACCAGAATTTAAAGAAAGAATAGAATATGAAGCATTAGATTACAAAAACATATATGAAACGCAAGAAAAATCCAACGTAGAATGTACCGAAAACAAAAAAATACACAAGATTTGAAGAAAAACTAATGAAAAGTATAGAGAATTGTAAGGTTAAGAAAGTCAAAATTAAAAATCCACCGAAACAGGAATGGATTAACAAGGGAATAATTAAGGATATTACTTATAAAAACATACTTTGGCAACAATACAAACGCCATCCAGAGAATAAGCTCGCCAAGGACAACTTTCTAAAACAAAGGAACCCAGTTGCTAATAAAATTCAAAGAATGAAACAAGAGTACTACTACAAGAAATTTACAGATTATAAATGTAATCCAGCCAAGAAAATAAAAATGTGGAAATTAATAAATAACCTCAGCAATAACAAATTTAGAGAAATATCGATACCACCCAAATTACTAATAGGAGGAACTTCGGTAACTGATACAAAAGAGATCTGCAAATGTTTCAACTACTTCTTTTTCATTTATTGGAGCACAACTAACACAAAAAAATTCCCCTTCAGTACCATGATAACAGAATCTTTACAAATGCAAAAGTTAACAACAACGATAAAAGACTAACGGCAATGGCACCGGCTTCAGTTGAGGAGGTAATTAAAATAATAAACAACTAAGATAAAAATACTAGCTTGGGCATTGATAACGTTAATACTAAGTCCATAAAATGCCTAAAAACCTTATAGCTCTAGAACTAACTCGATGCTTAAATAGTTGTCTAGAACAAGGTACATTTCTCAGTAGTCTCAAAATCGCCAAAGTTACACCTATTCACAAATCTGGCAGCAAAACCGACCCCAGCAACTACCGGCCTCTATCGGTTCTTCCCGTTGTCTCTAAAATTTTCGATAAAATTATTTATAACCAACTTGAGACTTATTTATACTTTATAAATTTTCTTTATCACAAACAATATGGTTTCAGACCCAAATTTAACCCTAGAGTGGGCGCGCTATGAGCATTTTGCCGCCCGCGCTAAAAAAACGGTTATAATTTTTAAAACTACTGCCCGTTAGGTTTGCGCTTTTTAGTAGCTGCCCCAACTCTCGCTTGCAATGCGTACCGAAAGCATAGAGTAGAGTAATATATACAGAAATAGAGAGCCATCTCCTAGAATTTTTTGTCACCCAATATGAATAGTGTCGCCGCCTGATATCATATCCCTTGAACTAATCTCAATATCATGTTGACTATGGATAGCGGTATGTAGTTATGTATATACAGCTATCTATACTATAGGCGGTTATATTTATATTTTAAGGGATTAGGGTTCAATTAAAGACGAATTATAGATTTCAGTAATATTAACATTTATTTTTGTTATATATATTTAACATACACTATGTAAAAGCGTCTATTCCGCAAAATACAATACCAAAACAAATTAAATATTTCCACCGGGTTACCGGAGTGATAAATGAAAGCGTCTATTTCGCACAACACTACACAAACATACAATGTGGTTCCAGCAAGAAAATCTAAACAGACAACAAGAAACAGAGGGCTAATCCCAACTCAACCAAACTTATTGTAGAAACAACCGAAAATCACTTATAAACTATAATGAAACAACAACTTGCTCAGCGCCGGTAGCCATTATGTCATATAAAGTTGCTACTTGCCATTTCCAGAATAACCAGAATTGGTGTAGTCGCCATCTAGCGCACCTTTTAGAATTTAATATTTGAAACTTTATGTGGATATAGTACAAGATGGCACTAGTGTCTTTGCAAATTATTGAACCGCAACCTAAAGTATGGAAGTGTACCCCCCCTGGCCGAAAGGCTGGATGCCGTCAGTACGCGGAGGATCGCTTGAGGAGCAAGTTGTAATAATCGGGTGTCACCGGACGGCGAATCGCTCACCGTGTGCACACTCACGTAAGTAATATTGTGTAATGTATTTTTTGCAAACTTGAAGGGTAGACTATATTTTATGGTGCATTTATAATCAAAACAAAAAAAAACATTTTTGTTTTAGGATTTAAAAGTACCTATTAATAATAATAAATATGAATAACAAAATGGACTCTCAAATTGTGTCTTGGCTAGAGGAAATATATAATTTTGAAGATGCTAGTACACAGATTGTTGATGAATATGTGTCAGATAGTGATCGATCTAGTCATCATAGTGAGCACAACACGGAAACAGAACAGTCAGCAAAAAGCGACGCTTCTAACAAGAAAGTATCTTCTCCAAATGTTAGCCTTCCGAAATACCACCTATTTGACGCCAAAGGACATCCATTTCAGATATAAGTATGCGAGCCATTCTTCAACAGAATAATATTCTATTAAAGAATGGCTCGCATAAACAGTCAAATTATATATAAAGCCAATACTGAACAACTGATGCTACGCCGAGAGTATTTGAAAGAAATTGCCATGGTACTTGTCAAGCAATATATGATCACAAGGTCTTCTATAGACACTTTGAATATTTCTCTGAGGAACCAAATTTCTTGCTTTGTACCAGCAGAATAAGCATCTTCTTCAAAGAAAGAGGCAAATGCAGTATATGTCCCTCAAAGAAAACAGGAGCACGAAAAGAGGGTGTTCCAGGTGCCCAAAGTTACTATGCAACGAACATTGCACATACCTTTGTGAAGACAGTTTTGATAAAACATATCCTGTCGATTTATAAAATATATAATTTTGCTTTTTTTCTTCATTTTTTAAGTATTAAAGAGTATGTAGGATAAGAGAAAAAAAGACAATTTAAATATTAAGTTTCCTAAAGTCTTTTGTAAACCAAAGTTTTTAAAACAGAGTTTAATAAATATGTTGATTTATCATTACTTATTATTGTATTATTTAATTCCTGAGAAAATAAATTAAATTTCTGTATTTCTAGTTAAAATGGTCAAAGTAAATTGGCGGCGAATGCTCCCCACGCGCCCACTGACGTTTTGCAAAAAGACGCGCCCACTTTAGGGCTAGCACACTATCAGCGACTGACCTTGTTACCAAAATAAAAAACAATAAAGATGAAAAAAATGTTACTCTTGGCATCTTCATTGATCTAAAAAAAAGGCGTTCGATACAGTCTCACACAAAAAAACTTTTGGATAAGTTACACGATATAGGTATAACAGCAAAGCTTCTTGAACTTCTTAATTCATACCTCTCCGACCGTTATCAGATACTTATACTTGCAGAACACAAAAGCAGCCTAAAACAAATAACGTACGGTGTCCCTCAAGGCTCCATTTTAGGACCATTGCTTTTCCTTATTTACGTAAATAACGTAAGCACATTAGAACTAAAAGGAGACCTATTACTATATTCGGACGATGCCAGCTTATTTTACTTCGGTAACAATA